TTTTTGAGACCGCCGGTGATCGCTGGTGACCCGAGAGGCGCGACTTGTCCCGGAGTGCGGAGGGCGAGGTGGGGCCGCCAACCCCGGATTCCCCACAAACACAACACGAACCCTGCCATGTGCACGCCGACGGAAGGTGACGAGCAGGGAAGGCGAGGGATCCAGGCAGCCCATGGCAGCACCGCGCAGTCTCATGTTCTGGCACATGTTGGCTTCTTGGGAGGTCTGGGACCAAAAGTGTCCCAAGCAAGATCCGCCTCCCAGAGGATGCCGCACAGACAGCACCAACTCTCCTTGTCGCGTGCTTTGGCAGGACGAAGGCCAGCAAAAAGCCTCGACATCTGAATTCAAGGATCCCAAGATCTTGAAAAGCCTTCTTGTCTGGCGTCCCAAGTGTTGGTGAGGCAAGAAGAGCAAAGCACTACAACGAATTTGCAGCAGTCAAGGTCTGCGTGTCTGACAGACCTGAAGCTTACATAGGGTACCAAGTACCAAGCTTTGACATGCGGTGCTCACTGTCCTGGCGCAGGCTCTCCGGAAGAAGGAGTCCCGCAATGGTGTGGTTTATCTGATGTTGCACACAGTCTCTGTCCCATAGCTAGTTCGGGCTGACTGGATTGGGGCTTCAGCCAGAAATGTAGACGTCGAGAGTCGCATTCCGACTTCGCGCAGCTTCGGCTGCCGAGGTAGGCAGTTTCACCATGCATGGGTCAATGAGGCAGCTATGGCGAGGCGGGGCCTCTTGTTGTCGACACAAGACATCCTGAAGCAGGGGGAGCAGACGGCGCTCCAGCTCCAAACGTTGCCGACTTGCAACAACAGGCGAGCCCCAGTCCCATTCTTTGTCGGAAGGAGGCCGACAGCGATAGCAGCGTGGATTCGGACACCTCAGACGAGGCGAAAGCAGCCAAGGCCCAGGCAGTGTGCCAGCAAATGAGCTGCAAGGAAGCAGCTGCCAAGAAGGAACGCAGAGCACAAAAGGCCACACATTCAGCTTTCGCGGTGTTTCCTCGGCTACTGAAGCTGTGTTTTTCCTCGAAGGCGAAAGCTACGAATGCTGAGGATGGCCAGAGCACCAAGTGGAATTGCCAAGTCTTCTGACACGCCATGTTCACAGCTCGCGGGTCTCAGGTCAGAAAGGCAGGTCAGATGGCATCACTTCCGGTGCAGGCAAGCGTGAAGGCGACTCAGAGGACTCCACGGGCTCCGGCAATTTCAGGCTCTGCTCTGAGCCTCTGAGTCTTCCAGACAGGAGACTTCGTCCGGCTTGCCTGGGGAGGAATGCGAGGTGGCTTCTGATTAGCAGGGCCATGCAAAACCCCACCCGACATGAAACGTCTCAGGCATCTTTCGTGCCGGGATCCTCGGAGTGGCCGCTGAGTGTCGGCCGCTGTTCACTCGCACAGCCGACAAGCCGAGGCAACCCAGCAAAGCGCTTCCAAATCCGATGGAAGTCCTGGCCTCAGCAGCTGGCCTGCTGGCTTTGCCCGGTGTTTGATTGTCAGGGTGGTCGCCCACCGGTGCAATTCGGAGAGGATGGAAGTCGCGTCATTGACCGCCTGTAGCCTGCTGCCACATAGATCTGTACTGGACTTTAGACCTCTCACCGGCGACAGGACGCGCCAGCCGGCACTTCGTTGCCATCTTCCGAATTCCTGGCGCAGAGGCGAGCTCACTATGACGAGGCCAGGGTCCACGCCTGCAAATGGCTGGGTGCTTTCTCCCTTCCCGCACCAGGGAGCAGCTCTCCGCAGCAAGCACTCGGAGGCCAGTCGAATCACCCTTGACCTGAGCTGCTTAGTCGAGTTGGAAGGACGGAGCCAGTCCTGGAGGCTTGAGTACCAAACTCAAAGCCAGAGCAGCGGGTGAGGCGACCTGCCCTATGCGAGCCTGGCAAGGCGACATGGACAAGTCAGCGGCAGCAAACCCCATGGATCCTACAGAGCCGCAAGAAGCCGCAGTGAGCTTCAAGGTGCCACTCGTGCGCGAAGCGTCTTAGCTTAAGTTGACGAGCCTTGCTCAAAAGCCAAGAAGCTGATGTTTAGCGGCCTTAGAATCTGCAAACAAAACCTCTGACAGTGTTGAGACTCAGGGTCAAGCAGACGGGCATGCCTAGGCGTTTTGCGCTCGCCCTGCAGCAACATGTTCGAGAGCTGCTGCTGCCAGGTGGAGACTGTCTCGGGTGATCACCAAGGTTGGCCCGTCATTCCTTTTCTTGCTTCTGTCCGGGATGGATGTTAGGCAGCGGCACAGATGCATGGAGGCCGTATGCTGCTGGTCACTTGTCTTCTGCGACTTGCCGCCACTGCGACTGCGACAGGTCGAAGCGCAATGCACACTACCGCGACATGGCAGCAGCTTTTCGCTCGAAGCCTCCCGTCTCTGCCCGCGCCTTGTCCAGGATGTCCAGGTCTTAGGTTGTCGAGGCGTAACCTGTGGGCTCAGGACGGTGACAGCGAGGATAGTTCGTGACCTTGGCAGACCATGCCAGCTCTCTTCCAGCCAAGTGTCTGGACAGTTCCATGTACAGGGTTGTAGCAAGAATTGGTGCCCGGTATTTAAGCACGAGGAGTCTTGTTGTTACTTAACGAAAAATGGGCCTGGTTTGTTTCAAGCACCCGGGCTTCTAGAGACGTGCGAAGCACTCTGCCAAGCAGCACCACAGGTAGCGATCGAGCTGACGGAAACAGCAGAAAAGATATCCCACCTCATGGGCTTAGAGTCCTTGCACATCTTCCGGCACGTGGTAATGTTGATGTTGCCAGGAACATGATGGAAGGAAGCGTCAAATTCTCTCACAGAGATTCAAGCCGTGCGCGCTGGAAGCAAGAGGGGATAAGAGGTGTAAGCATCTGAAATATCTTGCCACGGTTAGCGGTTAGCGTCTTGTGAGTGACCGGATTGCATTGAACGCAAGATCTTATCCATGCAGCGAGTGAAGCCGACAATAGGCATTGACTCTGTCTTTTCTGGACAGAACACTACTGCCCCAGCACCTCCAAACTCACGCCAGTTGTTCAACTCGTGCTTCAAGCAAAAACATGAGAGAAAGAGAAAGGAGTGGTGACCTTCAATACCTGGCTGTTTTAAGCTGGCTGCCCTTGCAAACCCCATAGTGCATGTTTGATGCGAATGGCCCACTCTGCCTGCTGTCCCCGCCTGGGTTTCGTTTCTGGCATGTGGCATTTGTCTCAGCAACAGCGTACATGCATTGTTGAAAATGTTAAAAAGCAAACACAATCAATTGCAGTAGAAACTCGTGCAGCGGCCGTGTATCAGAGAGCAGTCACAACACGTTTCACTTTCTCAAGAATCGCGGTATGTGTGTCACATCTTGTACGGGCCCTCCGAGATAAAGGCCATGTCGATGCATCGGCTCCTTTCGAGGGCCCTCCCAACGGCGTATAGACAGTCTCGCGACTCACACAGCTCCTCGGATGAGGAATCTGGCTTGTCCGAAAAGGTTGAAGAGCTGCTGGAGCAAACCATATCCTTTCACGGCTCGCACACGCAGTTTTTCATCCGTCTCTCGCTTGCTTTGTCTGTCGCATTCTGGGTCACCCTCTTCAGCTTGCCGCTGTACTTTGGGAAACTGCACTACATAGTCTTCGGGTTTCGGGGAGAGCTGCACGAGACCTACTCCGCATATGGCCGAGATCCTGCCTGCGAGAGTTTCATGGTCGGGAAGATGAGGAATATCGGAAGCTTTACCGAGCCCCAGGTGGTGCCGTGGACTCCAGACATGACGCCTTGGCAGGATAATCTGCGCCACCGAGATATTTGGTGTGGCTACTTGCCAGCCCTGTGGGAGGATTACTGGCCAAACATCGCGCAGTTCATCGTCTTCACTGTTTTCACCAGCACCGGGGACACCGTTCGCCTGGCCTGGCAGGGCCTCATCGGCACGGCATGCGCCTGCATGAATCTGCAGTCCCTCTGTCTAAAATCAGATCCAACTCGTCTGAAACCAGTGTCAGTGCCTATGACCTCTTGCTTGTGTTAAGGATGATGTGCTGGTTCTATCCTGGAGGAGCTCACGGAGCTCACTGTGGAGGTGATGCTGACTGCGTCCCGACTGCCTACAACCCCGTGGTGTGTTGGATCGACGTGCTGGGAGTTCTGTTCTTGTTCCTCGTGTCGCGGGCCAACGAGAACACCATCAAGTTCGGGATGTCGTGGCATGTTTCCTTCATGATGGATTTCATGAACCCGACGAAGATACTTGGAGCCATAAGGCCAATAAGGCAAGTCATCCTGCTTTTAGTCCCCTTCGTCTTGCCTCCCTCAAGGAAGCTGCCTGGTGGAATGCTGGAACGTCTGAGCGGTGTAAACATTTGGTCAAACGACCTGGTTCCGGATATCTTGCTCACGTCCGTTGTTGGTGCTGCCATTTCCATCCTGGCGACAATTATTCCCCGGATCTTCTTCTGCATGACACCTCTTGCGAATCGGGTGTGGGTTTCCCGGAATGCTTTGGCATGCGCGCAGCAGATTGGTGATGTCTGGAAAGAAAGCATAGAGTGTGGGCCTAAGCATGCCTCAACTGCGTGCGTTCATCCGTGTAGCGAATTCTTGCCGAGAGTCAGATGCATTTGTGCGTGACCAAGTTACCTGTGTGGTGACAAGTCAAGTGCCAAAAAGTACCAGCTGCAGCGGAAAGCACCGCCCTTATCTGATGTAGGAAGCTACGCTACCAACGACATGTCCAAATATTCCTTTGCCCCAAGATCGATGTCGTTCGAGAGAAGCTCACAACCACCAAAAGCCAGGCGCCGTGCTTCCGAGCGAAGTTATGAAGTCGAGACGAAGCGCAGAACCGCGCAGGTCGAACAAGCATGGTGGGAGACATTCCAATGTGGATCACCCGAGCAGGTTCGATTGAAGCAGCACGTCTTCCTGTCAGGCCCAGAGCTTCAGACTTCTAACTTCTGGGGTCTAGAGGTTCTGAGACTCGGAGAGCGCATGGGTCAGTTCTGCAAACCTGAGGCGTTGAGGGCGTACAGCGTACTATGTACGCTCTGGCAAACTGCATCTTGTACGAAGACTTCTCTGGGCCCCACAAGGAGTTTGTTGCGAAGGTCCACCACAGCGTCCGAGCGCTGCACTATCAGGCCTCTCTCCTTACCATCACTTGTTCACAGGCTGCGGCTGATGGCATCATCGATGAGGAAGAGGTAGAACAGATAGAAGACCAAGAAGAAAGTGTGAGGAAATGTCAGCAGGATCTCCTTTACAAGTTCCACGAAGCCGTGCCCAGTGCCATTTCTGCCAGCCTTGCAGAGGAGATTACATTCCTATTTGCTCTTGCATTCTGGGCCTCCACCACAGAAGACCTGGCGGGTGTACTGGTGCAGCATAAGCCTGCAAAGAGCTGGATCAATGTTATCAAGCAGGGCTTCCAGGACACCTGGGGCCACGACCGCATCAGCGAGACAGATCACCTTAAGTTTGTTTTTCGCAACTTCATCCCGATCTCCGTCTGTTACATCCTGGCCTATGCCCTTCCTTCCAGCTCCGTCTTCGTGCAGTACTCTGCCATCATGCCCAACACGCTGGCGTCCTCTTGGCTGCATCTTAAAAGGGAGACAGCTGGGGGCACACTTTGGCCTGGACCTGGGCACCGAGGCTACTGATCACACGGTTTTCTGGATCTGCTTTTACCAAGAACATCCACAGGACGCTGGGAGTCCTCCTTGGCAAGTTCTGGCCAATTCTTCTCAAGGCATCCTGGATGGCGTGGCCCTGTCAGTGACGAGCTTAGCTTAGAAGGCTTGGCGAAGCATGTCTGGACAAATGTCGCACACAAGTGCTCAACCGTGGGAATTGCGCATGTGCGCATATGTGCCATGCATGTGACCCGGCCCGGCGGCTAGATTGCGGCTTACTGAGGTCCACTCAGCGTGGGATGCTGCAGCTGCTTTGCCTCTTCTTCTTCGTTGCCGGGTCGAGCTATGTCTACTACAGCTCCAAGACCTGGAGCACGATTGCAGTGCTAGTCGCCGGCTACGGTGTGTATCCGCTCATGATACCATGCGAAAGCGATGTTTCCGAAGACAGCTACTATGCCTCGCTTTACAGGGAGATCGGACAGGTGACGGTAGCGATCATGCTCCAGTTTGTCATCGAGTCGGCCTTGCATGCCACGTCCCCGGCAGAGCTGGCGATCCGGAAATTGGAACAGGCGGTGGATGCCATCCAAAGTGGCTTCCACGGCTTCTTCAAAGGGGATCTGGAGATGATGAAAAGAGGCTTGGAGGCCGAAAAGTTCCTGAGCGAAGCACGTGCCCTGGCCGCGGAGGCCGACCCGAGCGTGCAGTTGGCCCCCGGCTGGCAGGTGCCCTTCAAACTGAGGCTCTACAACATGTCTCTGGACGTCATGGACCAGATCAAGTCCGATTTCGTCATGCTTTGGACGGCCTGCATCGACCAGCATTCCTTCCGAGAGACAGGGGAGCCGTCGACGGAGGTGCTTCATATGCTGAGCAAGAACGAAAACCTCAGGAGGCTCTTCAACTCGCTAGAAGGCCACGGTTCGAATCTGCTGCATGCAAGCGTTCTGCAGTTGTTCGAGTTCCCAGAGGAGGTTGCCTGTTTCTTGTCTTTCCGGGTCGTTTCACATGTCGTGACGTGGGCCTCTCACAAGACCGCCAGAACTCCCCCGCAGAAACTCTTGGAAGCCTCCCATTACGATTAGCCTGCCATATGCCTCCCACAAGCCCCCCGCCATCTCCCATCTGTCAAAGAATGCGCCTCCACACTTCCATGAGAACGGCTCGGGATGTTTGGGGAGGCAGGCTGACTCGTACCAAGCTGCCTCATTCGACAGGCTTCACAGAGGCCCATCGCCTTACATGGCGTGAGTGAAGAGCATCAAATGACCATCGCCTAACACAACTCCCAAGACCCGCAAAGAAGCCCTGCTTCCCATAGGACGTGCGCACATGTGGCCAGGTCACACTGCAAATATCAAGACGTGCCTCCTCAAGACCTTGAGACACTCGTCAGAGACCGCACTCGACGATTCCGAGCAGCTACAGGATGAGGTAGTCGCGGTCTCCTTTGATACGGTCTTTCCGGAGCCTGTGCGCAACAAGCTCTACCTATCCTTGACCCAAGACATGCCACTTAGCTTGTAGTGCTGGTTTGACATGTGACATGGCCTCGATTCGCAACTTGCAAACCAGTGAGGCGAACGATCGACAAGGAGACGCCCCGAAATGTAGTGAGTGATCCACAGGCACGGGCAATCGTTGCAACACGTGCCGTGGAGAATGCTATTCGCCACCTGGAAGATGTATGTTCGCTGATCATCGGTGAGGATATCTTTTAAGTGGCTACTTATTGTAGGACCGGAGCGATTAATGTGGCAATGCCCACGCTGGTCCGGCCTGGCATTCGTCATCTCGGCAGGTGCAGTGTGCAGCATGCACGGCACCTGTTGAAATATTGTGACAGCTGCAGCACTCTTGGGCTGTGGGCTGCGAGTATACCGTGACCATGATTGGCCGCCGGAGGGCCGTGGTCCTGATTGCTTTGACGGCTAATGACTTCCGGCGCTAGGAAAGAGGAACATGGCATGAGGAAATACATTACTGGTCATTTAGTCATGCGAGTTTTCGAAAGTCGTAAAGCGGGAAGCTCTAGGCATGCAGCATACGTAGCTGAGAGGCTGGGATCCCAAAGGCTGCTTGAAATCTTGCAGTGTGTGCTGGGGATCGAATGGAGCAAGCTCTACACCGACAATTCCAGGAGTCAAGCCTGATTCGATTGCATGTCGATGCAGCTGCGCATTCCGAAAGCATCTACTACAAAAGATGTAGACTGTACTGTGGCTTCTTGCCTTCATGACTCATGGCAATGCATGCAGAAGGGCAACGTGTCCCGGTCGCCTTTCAGGCGGAGTTTCAAAGAGCGACAGAGGTTGCGGAGAGTCTGCACGCAGCAGGTGGCCGTCATTGGGAACCGCGGTGCTGGCAAGTCCGCATTGATTCGAGCTGCTTCCGTCGACAACGACGGAGCGCATGAGGCGATATGTTGCGTCGCATGAGACAGCTTGCAGCTTCAGCGCATGAAAGTGTTATGAGGTCGGGGATGGAGTACAGCTCCACAAGTTGGCACGCCGCTTCCACACATGCGGCCGGGCTCGAAAGCAAGCCATCACTGAGGCATGTTTCTACAACTCCTTCTCAGTGGTGGCTGACTTTGTGGAAATGCCGCCCGATGCCGGGGCCTGAGGCGGCACGGCGGCGGGTGCCCGCACTCTCAACTTCCACAAGGATCGGTATTACACTCTTCTACCATACTTCGGTGCGGTTCCAAGTTCCGCTGCCCCACGAAGCAAAGCAGGGACTGCATGGCATGCTTTCGCTGGAAAGGTGGATCAGCAGCCTGCATCGTCTTGGTGGTGAACATACAGGCAGGATGGGGCCTCACTTCACACCGGCTCGATGGTCTGCCGGTGACGGCCTACAGTGAGGACGTGAGCGGCCATGCTGCCGGAGACCCAAGCATGTGCATCAAAGGCATAATCACTCTTTACGTAAGAGGTTCCAAAGTGGCTGTTTTCAGGACATGTGCAACAGGCTTGCTGCACTTGGAGCGCCTCCGCCATTGTCTTGGGCATTTGTCACAAGGAGTCCCTGAATCCCCCCCCTCCCCCGCCGCCTTTCTTGATGTCTTGAGGCCTTGCGGCCTTCTGGTTGTGCAGGGCTCCCTGCCCTCTGGCGCAGCGTCTGGGGAGGCCGCAAAGACAAGATCCTGGCATATAGTGTTGGGACTGGAGGATACTGGTTCTGGAGCAAACGGTCCAGAACCGCAGTGTCTGAACAAGTGAAACGGAAGTCTGAGTGCCTGCAGACATCCCTCAACATACCTGTGCACCACCCTCAAGCTCCTGCAATCATGCATGACTAGGTGTCCTTTCTGAGCCAATCTATGCCTCTATGCTCCAGAACTTGGCCGGGTTCAGCTGAAGTTCAGCTTCGTGTTCTGGATTTCCAGGAGAGGCGACGCCTGGAGCCTCTTCGGGATGTTGCAGCACGCAGGGGCCTCCAGAAGCCACAGTTTGAGCCCCTCCACCCGCGTTCCTTCGGGCCCTTGGAGGCTGGGGCTTGAAGTTTCTGCGCTTCGAGACACTGGAACAACTGGGCCGTGCTCAGATCTTCCAGTCTGCCAGGATCCCCAGGTGTGTCAGGTGTGTTCCCGTGATGATGTAAAACCTGAGCTTGGCATTCGCCTGGCCGCTTGAAGACCTTCAGGTCTGTGACTTGGTGCTTGGAGTCTCAGCCTCAGTTCCAAACTTGAATTGATCCAGCTCAATCAGACTGAGCTGGCAAGGATCGCGACAGTACCCCACGCACGCACACACACACACAGGCGTGGCAAGGGAACTCTTGACCACGATGGAAAGCCTTGGCTCTGATATAGCTCTAAACGAATGCAGTCATGCAAGACTGGGAGTGAGAATCAAACATGAGGAGTCTCCCAGGCAGGCTTGCACAAGAATGACTTCTGCTTATTTTGTCCAAGGTAAATCAAGGTGAGCATCCTCCCAAGGCTCAGAAAAGCCAAACGGACAACCAGATCACGGCGAAGCCAAGACAAATGAAGTGTCAACGTGCTCAAACTCACGAGCCATCGTCCATCAAATCACGTTTGTAAGAATCCTGTGTGTCGAGTGTCCTGACAAGCCTGCGAGAGGGAAGGGCATCAGAGATCGCGTTGCGACTGTTGGTTCCTTTGACGTTTGAGCGCTGCCTGTTCAACTGGTCGTTTTTTCACCTCGAGTATGTCGGAAAGTCGAAACGATAGCGAAATTGAGAGTGTTCCTGGGAAACAAAAGCCTCCTCCGGTGGGAACAGTAAGAATAGTGTCGGCAGGTCCACGATTACTCTCAGCAGGTAATCATATCTGGCTGGCTCCAACTTCAGTCCCTCCAGGAAATAACCTTGAGCGTCTCATCACGTGCTAGATGCCTGCAGCAAGCGGTGTGGCCGACAAAAACGACGTTTAAGCTCGCGAAGGAGTGATAGTGGGGAGTGCAAAAATTGCAGAGTTTGACACTATCAGTAAGGTTGCAGAGTAAGGTTGCAGACGCTGTAAAAGGTGCAAAGCAGGCGCAAGAACAACAAGAGTCAAGGAGATTGGCTGTGAGCTTGCAGTTGATGGTGTCTGAAACTCAAAGCTTGCTCAGGGAGAGCTATGATGTTTTTGTTGCCGGGTTCTGTTGCCTCGCGTGTGCCGTGCCTGTTTCCCTACAGAAAGTGTGATTGGGGATGGCGGTGGACAAAACGGTAGACTCTGGCCTTCCGGTACTCCGCCAAGTCATGCATTTGCGGAAGACGGCATTCGGCTGGCCGATGGGTTTCTCACCCTATCAGTGCATCGGCAGAAAAACAGCAAGAAGGGCAGGTGACAGCATGTAGTACGTGTGTGCGACTGCGGCCCAGAGCAAGGTGCTGCAATGTGCACACGCTGTTTTGGTCGAACCGGAGCTTTGCACGCCTTGCCTGCTTAGAGGGTGGGTGACGGTGGGTGGGACTATGAGAAACAACCTGTCAGTCTTGATCCACCGTCATGTCTTCACCTTTCCTTCCTTGATTCTGTTGATCCTGGAAGACACTCTTGATCTTGTCCTTTCTTTTGGAGGCCTGGTGCGAATTGATGGCCGATACGTTGTCACATATGCCCAGGACATTCCTGATCGTGGTGATCCGATGCACTTGCTGGGAAGGCGTGTTGCCAGAGGAACAGCTGTTGCTTGAGGTGGGCTGGAGGCGCTCAAGCCACCAGAAGTTTCCCGTGCAGACAGTCTTCCAGAACTCAATAAGAGAGCTGCGCTTGCGAGTGGCTCAAAAGCTGCGAAAGCAAGCAGATGACTGCCTTGACACCTAAAGGGAAAAGGCATGCTTGTTCGGAAGGTTCAGATTCTTTTGTGTTTATTTCCACATCTGCAGAAATCTGCTCTGTTGCACATGTATACATGATGTTCGGTTTGAGTTGTTCCGCGTATCACTCTGTGTCTCGCTCTCTCTCTCTCTCTCTATAGGGGCTACCATATATATATATATATATACATACATATATACTTATACATACACACATACACACACACACACATACATACACACACATACGCACACTACGCACACACCTGGCTTGGCAAGAATTGATGCAATGGACAACTGACAGGACAAGACAATGGAAAAGCAGTGGAGCAGGATGTTTTATGTTCCTGGTCTGTACAATCGATCTGGCAACATTCGCATTGTGCCTCGTGGGTTCTTGTGCAGCCGCAGTGTCGGAGCTATGGTAGTCTGGGCGGTTCAGAAGCCATGGCTGAAGCAGAACTTGCCGTACCGGGCTGCCCACTTTCCGGCCTTTCCTGGGCTGGGTTTGGGCGGTAACCCCTGGCAGCAGCGGCGACCCCCTCCAACTGTGCCGGCAGACTTCCAGGCCAGGCCTGCGGAATCTGGCGGACGAGCTTTCGATTCGCTACTTTTGGTACTTTTCAACATGGCCCCATTCAGGTGGATTCCAATGCTCGGCATTTTGGAACATGCGTCTACTATCACAAGTGGAGGGGGTATGGGTGCCGTGCTGGCATCAGAAGTTAACGATGAGTGGTGTGTGCCTTGTACGTCGCTTATGTCCTCTGAGGTTCTTGGAGCCAACTCATGTGGGCACGGTCCCTACGAACAAAGTCTTCGTCCACTGGAAGCAACTTACCAGTGATGACCGGTTTCCCTTTCTGGTCAAGGGCATGGAGGCAAGACTCTTCAGACGCTTGTGCTCGCTTTCTCGGAAAAGCGCAGGTGGAATTCAGCCTCATGGTGTCCAAAGACTTCCACAGAGGGCTCAACACCCTCCGGGCCAAGAACGTCACTCTGGTGCGCAGCCTTCCTTGAGATTCTCGGGTCCCTGCTATCTGCCGCTACGACAGGTCGGAGGAGAGAGCATCGCCCTCCAGGATGAGTTGGACGCGACGGAAAAACAATTCGTGGGCGGACAACACCTGAGGTACACTGGAACCTTGAAATTCTATTCACCCAGGCCAGCAATGAAGCGTTCGCATCTCTGCACAGCGCTGCGCTGCCCAGTGCTTGCAGCGGGCAGGCATGGATTTGGCTATGTCATGATGGACGAAGGACGGCATTCTCTGTCGTATTTCCTGTATCGCATGCAGCAAACCAGGCTATGATGTGGAAGCCAGCGTCCCGCTCGAGCTCCGGGTGGATCATGAAGAGGCAGCTGAGAATCTGAGAAAGTAGTTGTGCAGCAGCGCCTCGTCCTGAAGTGCAGGTCAACGCCGCGGGGCAGCAGCCTGTCCACATGCGTGACATTGCCGTTGAGTTTGGCATCTACCGGTCCGGCCCTAAGAGATGTGCCTGCGCCCGTGCCATGTCTCCTCATTACTCATTCCTTCGAAAACATGGTAAACGACAAGCCCTCGAGGCTAATTAGAGTCGTGACCCGGGCAATCCCTGAAGAACATGGGTTCTGGAGAGCCCGGACAGGACCGATCGCGGCCAGTGCAAGGTCTACAACATGACTTTGCAAGGTGGTCATCCTCTGACCCAGGCGGCTCACTGCCTTACGTGCATCAAACTTGTGCTTGAGTCTGCTTGAGGATGCGTTGGAGAACCGAATCTCCATGGGAATGGGCATGTACAGAGGCCAAATCGCATTTTGGAACTGGAGGCAAGCCTGGCCCGGGGTGTCCTGGGATGTCCAATGCACACTTGATTTGTCTTTTCGGGAAGGCAAGGCTATGGCTTTATTCGGCCCGACCCGACAGCCATCTTACCGGAGAAGGCAACATGATCCGCATGAATCCGCGGGTTTCTGAACCTCTCGGACCTTTTGTCACCTGTCTTTTTGTCTGCTTCGGCATCCAAAGCGGAGCTCCCCTGCAGAGGTGGTGGCACGTCTTGTCGAGCAAGCAGAGGCCGCACGCAAGCGGGGCAAGCGGATAGCCGAGGAGCGCAGCCACAGCGAAGGTTTCGGCTAAGCGTCGGCCGGTTTTAGACGGGTTTAGCATTGCTTTTTCTGATTTGCGTCTGCGAGGATAGTCTCCTTTATTTCCGGCGGCCAGATGTCACACCGGTGCTGATTCCACAGCAGGGCATGCAGGCGGAGCGGCTTTTTGCCCTGAGCGGTTCGATCCATCCAGTGGAATTCCCGCAGAACAGCCAGCAAGCTTTTCTCTTTCCGGGTGCTTGAAGCCGCGCATGGCTTCTAAACTTTGCCGGTGAGCGTGTATGCCCACCCACCCACCCACCCACCCACCCACCCACATCACGTTGTGTAGACTGCAAGCTGCAGCCGAAGCATGTTTCTTTGGCTGTCGCGACCTTCCCGTTTTTGTGTGCTCTCCTCCTAAATGTGACCGCGCGGCCGGCGAATCTGGAAAGCCATGCCAGAGCCGTTCGCTATCCGAGATGGGGTCAGGGAAGAAGATTTGAAACTTTGAAACCCGGTTTGGGCCATGCAGCGGACCACCAAAACAGCTGGTCACGCAGCCTCTAAGCTGGAGCTTTCAGCTTGCCGATGCTATGATTCTGCAGCGATGAACCAGATGAAGGCAACTTCACGATAGCGGAGGATCAGCCTTTACACAGCATGTAGTCTGCATTAGTCTGTTCGATCGGGTCTTCTCCATGATACCCTAGTGTAGTCCCGCAGAGCCACGCCTAAAGGAATATTACGAGAACAGCCCGAACCACACGGCAAAGCGACGTCCGGAGATCGGAATCATCCATACTAGAACAGGAATTGTCTGGTGTCAGTGAAAGACCTCACATAGTGAGCAGCGAGGTCTCAGAGCCACTGATGAACACCGTACAACCCCTCCGCGGCGGGAGGTGGAGTTGAGGGCAAGCCCCCAGCTCCTTACAAACATACATGTTTTGAGCAGCTGTGTTTATCACGTCATTGTTCCCAGGTTCTTCATGGAGGCTTGAGTCCAGGCTTTATCGCACCGTACACGCTGAGAGGGCGGTGCGAGTTGAACATGAACAAATACTGATGCTCAGATGCTCATGCTCAGATGCTCATGCAAGTGATTTGCATGACATAGAACCGATGCCATGCAGCAGTGGGAATGCGCACCGGAGCATAACACTCCCTGGGTTGCTTGCCTGAATTGCAGGTTGGCTTTCAAGTCTACATCGATGACAAGGGAGCTGGAGCATGTGATGTCACTGCCTAGGCATCCCCGGTCTGACAGAGATTTCACCCCCTCACCGAGGGCACAAGGACAGAACGGACATCAAGCAAGCAAGTATTGCATAGCAAAGATGGTGCTGTATGCAAACAAGCTTGGAAGAAACTCATCCACTGGCCAATACTGTAAATGCTCTGGTCTTCGCGACCCGCTCGTCTCTTTCTAGGTTTGTTGGATCGCATGCCTGGCGTGTGACTTGACAAAAGGCTTCTGAAGCCGAGAATCCGCTTCTTGATTGCTGCATGCTACCGAGAGTTGGAGGCTTGTGCTGGTGGTGATGGTGGCGGCGATGGTGGTGGCTGCGGCCGTTGATGTTGCTGGTGAGGTGGTGATGGTGGTGGTGGTGGTGGTGGTGGAGGCGGTGGTGCTGCTGCTGCTTTTGCTGGTTGTGGTGGTGATGGTGATGGTGGTGGTGGTCGTGGGTCGGTGTTGGTGGTGGGCTCCGCCACTATCAACTCGAGAGCCGGTTGATTGCCATATCATGATTGACAGGTTCGTCACCACCGTCATGTCATGGTCATCATATGTCCTCATGATCACCATCAACATCATTGCCAGCAACAGCACCATCATCGTCATCATCGTCATAGTCGTCATCAGAATCGTCATCCGCAGCATGACCACCATAGTCATCAGCAGTAGCGGCAACATCATCTGCAGCATCATGATCGTCGTCATCGCCAGCATCATCTTCATCGCCATCGTCATCATCACTGTCATCCTATCATGGCAATTCTGTTTGGCGGCCTCTGCTGCAGCAGCAGAGCATCATCACCACGACTTGTGTCAGCATCAGCAGCAGCAGCAGCAGCAGGAGCTTCACGGCACCGCTGTCGCACGTGCACTGGTTAATTAACCGCATTGTTGCAAGAATGTGCCCTGATAAGTTACGCGCATCGTTGTTTATACAAGTTATTGCAGGTAAGTCTTTAGTCGGTTGTGGGGCTTTCCTGGCTTCTTGGACCATTCGCTTCGAAATCCTGGCTTGTTTTCGCTTCGGTTGTGTTGATGCTTGATGGCCTTGTCGCTTCGCTTCTTGTTTGCCTCCTGACTTTTGTGTTTTTTGGCTTCTGGCTTGCCGAGCGTGTTGGCGGAGTTCGATACGGAACTCTTGCGCCCAGTTGTTCGAGAGTTCGACCTGCCACGTGCCGTAGCCATCAGAATGATTCCAACCTCTGAACCCATCCAGATATTGCAAAGCACACACGTGGACACATGGAAACTTGCTGAATGTTGTAAAGCAGAGCGTGATGCATCATTGGAGGCCACCACATGGTGCAGAAAACTCTTGCGACGTTGCAGCCCTCCACAGCATGGAAGCCTTTCACTGCTAGAAACACCAGTATTGATCATGAAACCCCTCAAAGCTCGCGAAGCGTAGTAATAGTATCATGCAAGATTGAACCTCGACCAAGGCTCGATAAAGACCTCAAAGACTCGCATGACTAACATGACAATTGCATCCTGGCTTGATTGTTGGTCCATAACTGCCCGTCACTAGACCCTGAGCCCTCAGCTCATGCAGAACCAAAGCCAGATCTCGAGGGTTCCAAGTGTCGCAATGACGGAGCCCCGCAACGTCCAAAGCGACGTGCCGGCGGACAAGGGTCGGGCCTCCAACGGAGGCAACGCTTTGGGGGCGGGACGGGACCACCAGTGGTCCAGAGTGCACACGTGCAGAGGATCCTCTGAGAACTTGGCGGCACCGTCCCCGCTCGATCGGGGCAGATCGATGAGCCCAGTTCAAACGAGCACAACTGCCGCGCGTGTGCCTGAGCACTCCTTGGCAGATCTTGAGCAGAAGCCCAGAAGATGCATGAAGTCGGAGGATGCTGCACAAGCACCATGCGCACGTCACACTGCAGGCAAAGCAGATCGGCATCAGGTGCCATGACTCACAGAGGACAGCCGGCCGAAACTCCAATGTTTTCGATGCTCCAGAAACGCTTCAGGAGCCATTCCTCATGCCTGGGCCAGCGGAGAGGGGCCAGTGGCATCTCCCAGGAATGCTTTTTGACTTTGTGACCGTGCATCAGAATCCGTGTGACAGGAAGTTGGTTCGGAGTTCAACAGCTCAGGGGCTTTTACTCCTTTGCTTAGTTGCCCCAATCGCTGGAGTTTGGAATCAACCCCCAATCGCTAGCGTTTGATAATCGGCGCCGGCATTCTTCAAGGTTTTGGATTCAAAGCATGCGAAGACTCACCAATGATTTTTGCGTGAGCCAGAACAATGATGTAGCCTCTGCATGGCCAGTTAAAATCGCAAGCGATTGAAAATGGACACTTGCATTTGGCAAGGCACCGGATTCAAAGCATGCTACAAGTAACACTCAACAATAATTTTTCCTTGTGCCAACACATTCATTTATCCGTTGGCGTGGCCAATTAAAATCGCTGGCGTTTGGATTGGAAATCGGCCCCTGCATTCCGCAAGGCCTCGGATGCAAAGCATGTTAACACTCAACAATGAGTTTTCCTCGTGCCAAGAACAATCTCTTGGCTGTTTGCATGGCCACTTAAACTCGCTAGCGTTTGCGGGTTCCGTACGCAGTGCCCAGACTGCTTTTACTGCCTGATTGGCTCATCTTCTGCTGCTATGCCTTACCCCATCACTCACCGATGATTTCTCCTGGAGTTGCGTTCGGGAGTGTTCCGCTCCAATCGCTGGCGTTGGGCGTTTGCGAACTCATGAGAAAAGGACATAAGGTACGTTTGGGGCTTGATCTCGAGAATCGTTAGCGCTTGCATTTGTGCGTTTAGTGTAACTAAGCTCCTCTGTGGCATTCTGAGCGCGGGAAGGCTGGCAGATTCATTCAACGAACCAAGATGAAGACCCGTGGGGAAGTCCAGGGTGACATGACATTTCTGTTCCGGCAATTGGTTTTTGTTGACCAGGACGGGTGTAGTTCCGACGTGACCGGGGCGGGTGTAGTGAGGGAAAGGGGTCCGAAGGTCCGATGACATCGTCTCTTTGGTGCGACGAAAACAAGCCTTGGATTCCGAGCAAATGCTGTTGATGTCCTGAAAACAATGCAAGGCACAATGGTGCTAACACCCTCATTCAAAGGGCTCAAGGAGAAATGCATTCAAACAAGATCCACAGACTTGCCAAACATGTTTAAAGATTGAACAAGTTTGGCAAATCTGTGGATTCTACCTCGGGACGCAGACAGGGCCAGCATGCAGTACATGTTTGTGCGAGCAGGAGATAGCTTGACTTGGAATGGCTATGAACACTTGTGAATGTCTGTGGCCATTCTGGATAAAGTCACCCTCTTCAGGGGGGGTAATTATTGAAAGTCGTCCTCGCCGTCCTCGGGTACTACGGTCGTTCCGCCGAGCCCGGCTAGCGCACCGCACTGTGCGGCTAGTCCGGCTCAGGCCCCGGCTAGCCCTGCTACGTGGGGAGCCCGCCCAGCCTGCTGGGCAGTTGGGATGATGCTTGGAAGTCCTTTCCACCCCGGCGATCTTTATTGCCTGAAGATAGGTCCAGTGAGTTCCCACCGTCCTATCCCAGGTGTCCCGGTTGGGCGCTGCATCTTCTAGCTCGCGACCCTTGATGGTCCTGTTGCCTAGCTCCAGGTTGTCCGTGTAGCCAGGAGAGGTCATCTATCCTATCCTGCTGGATAGTCCGCCCCGGGAAGGCATACTAGCCTGCGATGCTCATCGCTATCCCGGTGATAGCTCTTGAGAGGCCACTGCTGTCTCGGCACATGTAGCCAGGTCTGATCGACCATTCCCGAATAATCCACGGGCGGCCTTTCGACTGCTTGGCCGCCGGTGGGCGGTGGAGCCATTAGCCGGTGTTAAATATTCGGGTAAAACCGACTTGCATGTTTTCACGAATTCATCGAGCTAAGACTCGTCGCGGACGGCGCGAAGCTTGGCGAATAAATATTCGGGTTGCTCATTTTCTACTGCCTTGGTCCCATCCAAGTCCGCATTGATACCCCCATGCTGGAGGGTCGCTTTTCAGGAATTGGCCCGCCGTCGGAAGCCATGTTAGCCAACTGTTGCTCGTTGTAGTTTCCTCCACCGGGTGGTCGGCGTTCGGGGTGACATGGCCTCCCTTTTGCCGGAACCGGTGAACTCGGCTGTCCCTGCTCTCCCTGTAGCTCTCCAGGAAAAGAACATAGCCCGCACCGTTGCCCTCTGAGGGCATGAATCCCGTCTGCTGACTCTTAGCCGCTGTGCTAGCCACCGCTGGGCCACGTGGTAAACCCCATGTATTCGCTCGATGAGGCTGGTTAGCTCGGCTGGCTTCCCTAACTATCCTCACTATCCTCTTGAGGCACCAGGTGATGTTCTGCCAAGCCAGTATCCGGGTGGTAAGTGGCCTCTGGGCTGCAGCTTTGCTCCTTCCATAGCCTCCTCCATGTCGTCTCTAGCCCTTCTGGCCACAGCGCTCATAGAGCTGCTCGCCCAAAACGTGGGTATCTTCGTGGATGGCTATGTCCTGAGGCCTTGCACTACGTCAGTGACCTCGCATAGCCTCGCTGTGCAATATCCCTCTCGCTATCCCTTGCTGCGGTATCCTCGGACATCTCCGCCCAATCTCTGCTAGCATGGGACATGGCACGAAGGATGCTGGTCCTGGTCTCCGAAGGCCTCTCCCCGTCGTGTGCGAAACTAATCCCTGCAGAACATGTGCACATGCCGCCCTGGCTCACAAACGGACGTGACACGCGCACGCAGAGCCTATCACATGACAGCAAGTGCAGACCACAGCGCACACAAGCTAGCACAGGACAGCAGGTGCAAGAACGTGGTTCTGTCCCCTCTCTCTTCTTCTGTCCCCCCCCAGCCCCTGGCCCACTCAAAAGTTGAGCCGTTAGTTGGCCCTGCCCTCCCGGCTCCGCCGAAGGGTCAGGAGCGTGCAAGGCCTGGGAGCTCTCGCTCGCGCTCTCCAAGTCTTCGCCTTCCCAGGCCTTCGGCCAGCATAGCCTGCACACATGAGTGTACTCCCTGCTAGCCGGTCAAGCAGAAAAGTTCCTAGAGCTCGCCGGTAGCTCAACCAGGATGTACTTTGTGCACCTTGCCTTCTTGAGGCTGCCTCGGGCGGCCCGTATCCCCGGACCCATCTCGGGCTCACGACCCGAGCTGCTCGCCTGGTGTTCCTCGTTGTGCTGCGCCACCGATGGATGACCATGCCGTGCAAACTCCTTAGCCCAGGGTATCCGCTTCGAATCAGACATAGTGCTTAACCCAATGCTAGACATTTCCTGCTTCCTATATTCAATGCAGGCTTACTCAGAGGTCGAGGTACAGGTGCTCCACGTTGCGGGAAGAACCAGACATGTCTAAACCAATGTTTAAACATGCGTTCAACCATTCCCCGCGGCTTCGCAACAACTATATGTAGGACACGTCTTTGCGAGCACAAACTCGCTCCTACTACATCAGACTCGCATGCCCAGACGAACCGTCAAGCCCGCTCAACAAATCCGTCTTGTAAGGCTATGATAGCCGTAAAAGCTCTTTAGAATGTATGTTCATTGGAGGACAAGTGCTTTGGATCCTCCGGAGTCGAAAAGCTTCAGATGTGAGGGTCTTGCTTCTGCAGGACGCCGAGGCACCCGGCTGGTTCCGAGCAGCGGCCTCGGAGAGAGCAGAGAGCGGCCGAGCTGGGGCTCGGCACGGCGAGGCTCCGGCTTGGAATCGTCGTTGCGGAGCTCCAGCGCCAGGGGGCCGAGGATCGGCGCCTCGTGCAACGGCAGCTGGACCATCTCGAGCGGCGGCTCCAGGTCGGCAGCGTCTCTGCGTTTTTCCTCCCAAGAACTTTAACGTCTGGTTCAGGAGCAGCTTGCTATGCCGGCCAGTCGCGAGCGCTGGGCAGACCTCCAGGCCTCTGAACTTTTGACTTGAAACTCGGGTTACCTTAGCCTTAGCTTTGGTCTTGAACTTTTGATTAGACGTGCTGTCTGGCAGGGCAGTGTCACTGGACTGCTGGAAGAGGTCGCAGGATTGGTCCGACGCGTGGAAGGCCTAGACGAAAAGTTCAGGACGGTCCAACCCAAACACCTCTCCGCCCAAGATTGCATAGTGGGCAGGAGCCGAACTGCAGCCTGCGAAGAGCTGCTGCGGCAGCGCACACGCGCAACAGGCTCAGGGGTGATTCTTGCCTTGGCAGTGTTCAGGTGCTGATGCACAGAAGTGAAGACTTTTGGCCGAGGAAGTGGAGCAGCAAGTCCACAGCCAGCAGCAGAAGGCCGATTTCATGTATGACCAGAAGGGCGTGATGGCTTTGTACACGCAGAGATGTAACTTCCAAGGTCCAGCTGGCAGTTTCCACCTTTGAGGAGACCTGTCGCTCCGCCAAACAGCCATTGTGTAACGATAGTCACCTTTGCGACAAGGAGATGTCCAAGCGCCAAACTGCCAAGCTCCGCAAGGTGGTTCAAACTTCGGAGGCCGAGCGCGGCTTGGCTGCAGTCGATCTGATCTGCGGACCTCACAGGAGCAAACACGGCGACTGGCCTCTCTGGAGGAAGCTTCCCGGCGCCCTGCGCAGGACCAGACTTTTGCCAGCGTTCTTGAGTGGTCCTGGCCGAGTTGTGAGAGGATACGACGATGCGATTGGAGGCGGGACAGAGGAGAAGAGGGGGGGAGAGGGGCAAAGCCGAGTCCGGCTCGGCCTGCCTCGGTCGTCCGAGGCCCGGCTCTCGGAATTGGAAGGACAACAAGACAGCAGCTCAGTAAAGCACGGGGCAGCTCGAACTCGCGGCTGCGCAGCGGCTCCGCTCTGAGGCGAGTTTGGAGGAAGAGTTCCGGAATGTCGCGACCGGCCAGAGACTGGACTCCTTGAGCCCCAGCAGGCGCATTCATGCGCGCTGCCCCAAGCTCTGTTTGACCTTCGCCTCACCGTCCTGACATGCACAGTCTTTATTCCTGGCCTTTACATTGCTCGAAGAAACATGCAAGTCAGGGTGTCCAAAGCATACGACTGTCATCAGATACGTGATAGATCCATAGGAGTGGGATCCTCACCACTTACCTTTCAAGTCTCACCAGCCAAGCCCTCAGCTACAAATCGCTGATGGCGACAAACTCCGGAATGAAACCGGGGTCTTTCAAGGAAGAGGGAGAGGGACGAAATGGTGGGCGCAGTGAGTTCGGGAAGGGCTCCTGGCATCTGCCGTGCCCAACGACCAGCCTGAATGAGCAGAGCACGACTTATGCGCTAGTGACTAGTGAGACCGAAACCAAAAGAAGAAGTACCAGCGAAGGCCGCAAAAGGAAATTGGCACAACAAGTCGTAATACGCACCAGTCGGTGTGCAGATGAAGCGAAACACAGTGAAGAGGAGCACCACGGCTTCAACTGGAGGCCATGGAATCTCGAAGGTTGGGCTATCGTAAAGCTGTACTTTGTGGGAAGATGGACGGTCAACAGCAGTTCTTGTACTGTTGACACAGCATGGGGGCGGAGCACGGGGAAGAAGACCGTCAAGCAATATTGGAAGTGCAAGCGCCAATACGAAACAGACATACCCTGCAGAAAGCGCAGCACGAGGAAGGTCGAGGACTTGGAATCAGAAATTCGGAGGATCATTTCCCTCCGAACAAATTGTGAGAAAGGGACCAGCGGAAACGCGACAGAGGCAACACAAGAGAATTGGATTCAACTTCGAGAGGGTTTCCTGGTTTTCAATGCTTTCGATTCCTTCTACCGTTTGCTTTCTGCTGTTTTCATGGCTCCCAGTTTCCTTCGGTCAAGTTGGTGTTTCTGTGTTGAAACTCTTTTCTGCATCTTGCTGCCTCCATGTTCGGGACTACTGCCCTTTCAAGATGTGAAGGCCCCAAGCAAGTCTCAAGCTTTGCAGTAGGTGTCGGCACCAGGTCGGCTCACACAGTGCAGGAGGGCCCGGGGTACGACGTGGTCCGTGCCGGGCGCTGAGGTACCCGTAGTGAGGTGCCGTGGAGATCCGTGGAGCCCCCTTTGGCGCAGCGCGCTCGGAGCCTCGAGTCGAGGCCTTGGAGACCGAGCTCTCGACTCTCTCGAAGCACCTGGCAGCACAGGCGTGGGAGTGCACAGCGCGAGCCCCTTTTAAGCCTTGTACTCTTACTATCTGTGCGTAGCTCGACGACCACTCCTCGGCATTGGCCAGCCTGCGCGTGCGCACCGAGGGTCAGGACATTGTGGCATCTGAGATCCTGAGGTCAGAGATCGGAGCGTCGGAGCCACATGACAGGAGCAACGTCTCGTCGCAGCAGGCGAGCGGCTGGAAAAGGTGGTGGCCCCAACGATGGAGGTGGGCGAAAGTAGCCATGATTCGTATGGTCATATGGTGTGGAAATAGGATTCGCATGTGCAGGCTTTTCGTTCCGAGATGCAGCAGCTGAGACTCGCAGATCGCTCCGAGATGGACCAACGCTTCGAGCATCTGTCGAGGTGTGGCATTCTATCACGTTGGGATAGCAAATTTCCTGTCGTCACCACTTCAAGTGTTCATGTACCCCACTGAGCTTCAGGCACTTTTAGCTTTACATCGACTCGTCTTCTTCGCTGCAGATTTGATTAAGTTCATTATCATATGGATATATGGACACACATGCATGCATGTCAGCACCTTCATGTGAAGACGAAACTTAGTTACAAGATTGCGTATACACACATCTACATATGCACAGAGAGAGAGAGGTTCCTCCTCTTACCAGGAGTGAAGGCTTTAGGGTCAGAGTTTTGAAGTCATTTGTTGAACTTTGAACAACCAGCCACTTGAGTTTGTTGCCTCGAAGCGTGCTTCTCTAACCACCGCAAGACATGCCGTGACTACTAGCAGCCCTGCAGCTGCTGCTACGACGACAAAAGCTACAACTTACAGCCCTTCAACCGCAACGGCAAATTAGCACTACTACAAGGACCACCCACAACAACGACGACGACGATTACTAATTACTAATACTACTAAACCGCAGGTACTACTACCACTACCACGAAAAAACTACTACTACTACTACTACTACTACTACTACTACTAGCCACCCCCCCCCTACCAACTACACTTGCTCCATCCGGGGCTGG